GCCGTGGCTGTTCTCGGTGTCGGGCGGCACTGCAGCCGGAGGTCGCCAGCGGCTCTGCCGGGGAAGCATGGTGTGCGGCAATGGCAGCTAGCCTCGGCGTCGCCGTGTTGGGCGGCGTTCCGGTGGGTTGTCGCGGGTAGGCGAAGCAGACGCTAGTGGCAGTCTAGGCCTCTAATCCTCCACGGCTGGCTTGACACTCGCCTGGTACAGGTTACGTCTCTTCTATCCTCAATCTCCCTTTTTCTTCATTTTCTTGTATCCCTTATTCTCTGATATTTGTGACTACTATTTGACGGGTGCTCTTTTCGGCACTCAATTGTTCCCCATTTTCAGCTGCAATAACAATGTGGATAAACGGGTTGTTTTTTGTTGGTAAACCCGTCACCCGTGCGTTCATACTTCATAGTGTCCCTCTTATGGCTACTGGGTAGATTGAAAGTTATTCTAGTATTAGTGTTGGATTAACATTTGCAGGCGTAGGCTAAATATATCAGTAAATTGTCATTCCCTTGAGAGTGTCGACGATTTTCTTATCTCAATAGTTGTACCATGATGCAATTCATATTCCGGTCATTGCGGTGTGAGTGGTCATGGCGATGCTACCTCCCTTGCTAGGCTAGCAGCAACGACATTGTCTGCAGGTTTGGGTTTATTTTGGTTGGGTGTGTGCAGAAGGGGAGCGCACTAGAGGAGGTGTGCAATCCCATTTCAAGTGCTTTTAGTTCTAATCAATTTCCTCTTCATGCTTTGTCGCGTTCTTCCCAAATTGCCAAATTGATGCTCAGAGTTCAGTTCTTGCATACGCTGCACATTGGAGATATCAGGAGGCTGAACACATCCTGCCAGAAGAGGTAATTCGAATTTAAAAGTATATTGTTGCCATTTGTGCATGTCACTCTGTAATTATTGTTTGTTAGGAATACTCGCATTCTTGTTTATTTTGTATCTCCAAGTAGTTTGGTTGGATGATTTTTTAGACTAGGAAGTTCTTAACTGTTGCTATTCCGGTCCATGCTGAAATAGAATTTATGTGCTCTTTGACATGGGACGACTAACTACTAATCGGCTACCAATTGGCAAAGATTTTGTCAGGTTGCAGTGAAGTAATGTAGGGAGACTACTTGGTTTATTGTTTAAAGTGTTTATGTTTGATGTTTTTCTAGAATAACGAGGCGGCCTCCCTGGTTCCATTAGCATAAATGATACCATTAGTGAGTCACTGTCCCAACTTCTAAGTTCAGTACTAGTGGAAGGCCGCGTCTAGAGAAACTAAAATGTGATCTTCAGAACTACAAGTCAAAAGATAACTAGCAGTGTGCACACAGGCACCTTTCCAAAGTAGCGGCGAAAGAGTAGAAGGACTAAGCCAGGAGCAGCTTTCCTTCTACGTCTTAAGCTCCAGACTTCTTGGACCTTTTGGCAATTCTAGTGCACGTCTGGAGATACCAACAACATTTAGTGTCGAGGCTGGGCTGGTGAAGGTCTTTTCTCCCATGCATTTCCTCCACGTTCAGGGGAGTCCAAAGGCATAGGCTGCTGATCAGATCAGCAGGACAGGCTGTGGATGCAGCCGAAGGCGAGGGTTCCTCTGGAGTCAGCCACATTCCAGCAGCGGGCCACCTGAAAAATTTGTTACGAACACGCAGAATGAGTCTAGCTTATCTGTTTTCTTTGTTCACCATGAAGATTTACGGTTTTGTTTCAGACCCATGTGGGAAATCATTCAGCAGTTTACATGCTTCTGAATCTGAATTAATTAAAATTATTGTTTGAATGGGTTGGAGTTTTGGCTCATTGATTCAGTAAATGCACCTACGAGGAACTTACATTAGGTCACGGAGGCTCTTGGCATGCTTTTTGGCGCAGTCTGTATCTCCTCCACCCAACGAACATCCCATGCCCAAGGAACAATTCTTGTTGTTTTACTCCATCTTAATCAGTCATCTGCTATTGCTGATTCATACTCCCTCCGTCCCAAAATAAGTGTAGTAACTTGAGACACTTATTTTGGGACGGAGGGAGTATTAACTGCTGATGACGTATTTTGTTTAGTAGCAAGTTCTTCTTTATAACGGATTTCTCTGAAATTCATCTGTTGCACTTAATATACATGACATAGTCCATTTTCGTATGAGCATGTTAGCTCATTTTCAGAAACAGTGGCTCTCTAGTCTCTAATGGTTATTTTCATCCCACTGCCCCGTTGTTGCTCTATCTAGATATGAATTACCGAACAAAAATGATACCACAATCAGTTCCATAGAGGGTTGAGCCAGTTCCCCCAAAACCTACGTTTTACATGGTATCGAGTCTAACCTAGGTCCTCTACTCCACCCGCCGCCGCCGCACCACCAAAACCCTAAACCCTAGAGCTGCTGCCGCCGGCGCAATGACCGCTTCCGCTTCAGGCGCCGCCAGCTCCGGGTCAATCCCCGCGTCGCTTGCCGCCCTCCTCAACCTCCCACCTCGCCCCTGGCTCTATTGATGCCTCAGTTCTTCGGCACCACTGCCGTCGGCTCCATGTTTTTCAACGCCAATCCCGCCGTCACCGCCCGCGACGGCCTCCGCACCAGTCCCGCTGGCGCCGCCCGCGATGGCCCCTTCTGGATCCTCCTCGACACTTGCCGTCATCCCGACGACCTCGGGGGAGGCGCTGCCCACGGAGCCACCCGCGGCCTCGCTCACGGCACCACCCGCGGGCGTGATCCCGATCGTTCCTGCACCGCCACCAGCGGCATCAGTCGCAGCTATGGTTCCTGCTCCGGCTCCGCCGACCGCCGCCCCTGCTACTGGCTTCATCACGCCCGCCGGGCTATTCCACTTAGACAACTTGATCGCCATCCGACTCACGCAGGACAACTACCTGTTCTGTCGCACCAAGGTCCTACCGCTGCTCCGCAGCCGGTCTCTCCTAGGGTTTGTGGATGGTTCGCTACCGTGTCCTCCGCAGGTCATCCATACCGTACACGGCCCGGCCATTAACCCGGAACACCGTATGTGGGTGCAGCAGGACCAGGCGGTCCTCTCTGCTATCCAGGGCTCCCTCGACGACGGGATCGCTGGTCTCTGTCTCTTCACCGCCACCTCCATGGACGCCTGGACGACCCTGGAGTACGCCTTTGCCCAGGTCTCTACCTCCTGCTCGATGGCCCTTTGCAATGAGCTCGCCGACATTAAGAAGCTGGACTCCTCCGCCACGACCTACTTCAACAAGATGAAGGTGCTGGCGGACACACTCACCTCTATTGGTCGGCCGCTTAGCAACGAGGAGTTTGCTGGCTTTGTCATCAAAGGCCTCGACGCCGAGTACGACAATGTCGCCGAGGCTGTTCACATTGCCAAGCCAGTGATGCCCCCGCACGAGCTCTACTCATGACTTCTCTTCACCGAGCAGCGCGTCGAGGCTCGTCGCTCCTCCGCCACCATCACCCCACAGCCGGCGGCCTTCTGGTCGTGGCCAGCGTCCCCCTGCCCCGTCATCTGGCAAGCCCGCCCTGCCCCCTACATCGACCTTGGGTGGGGGCCCTAACACTCGGGTGGTATGCTAGCTATGTGGTCATGAACGTCATGTCACCTCCAAGTGTCACTTCCGCTTTTAGAGGAGCTTCCTTGGCATCGGCAACGACGGCAAGGGCAACGAGCGCTAATTTGCGATGGCAGATTTTGGTCCTCCCGCCGCCGCCGCGGTTGCCCACATCGCCACCGCCTGGGCTGCCCACATCACCGCTAAGGGCAAGGACCCGCGCGTCGACCAGGGGCACACGCCATCATATCCTGTTGATCCAGCCTGGTACATGGACACCGGCGTCACAGATCACATGACGAACAAGCTCAACAAACTCTCCACCTGTCAGCCCTACTACGGGCACGATCAGGTTCACACCGCCAATGTTGTAGGTATGTCCATCTCTCACATTGGCCAAGCATCGCTTTTAACTAGTCATCCCTCTAGGCAGCTCCATCTTCGTAATGTTTTGCGGGTTCCCTCTGTGACTCGTAATCTTTTATCTGTTCCTAAGCTCACCCTTGATAATCATGTCCTATGTGAATTTCACCCTTTTAATATTTTTGTTAAGGACTGAGCAACCCGGGACGTTCTGCTTAGTGGCCGCTTGAGCCAAGGCTTGTACCGTTTGGAGGATCCATCCGCCCCGTGCGTCTTTAGCGGTGTTCGTGTGTCGCCTTCCCAGTGGCACTCTCGCTATGGTCATCCCGCCACACCCATTGTTCGCCACATACTCCACCGCCATGAGCTGCCATTAGAGTCTAGCAATAAAGAGATGTCAGTGTGTGATGCCTGTCAACAAGGCAAAAGTCATCAACTACCTTTTGTTTCATCTACTAGAGAAGTAAAGAGTCCTCTTGAAATTGTGTTTCTGATGTGTGGGGTCCAGCACAAACATTTGTTAGTGGTCACAACTACTATGTCAGTTTTGTTGACGCCTATAGTCATTTCACATGGCTTTATCTTCTTAAGCGCAAATTTGATGTGTTTGATATATTCATTCAGTTTCAATTGCATGTCGAACGTCTACTCAAGCATAAAATTATCCATGTTCAGTCAGATTGGGGGGGGGGGCGAATATCGCAACCTCAACACTTCATTTAATAAGCTTGGGATCTCCCATCGTTTGTCATGCGCACATACACATCAGCAGAATGGCGCTGTTGAGCGCAAACATCGCCATATTGTTGAAACCGGCCTCACACTTCTTGCTCATGCTTCTGTACCTTTTCGCTTTTAGAGTGATGCTTTTGCCACCGCATGTTTTCTCATTAACAGATTACCTACGTGTGTTCTTAATATGAAAACTCCTATTGAGCTTCTCTTAGATGAAACTCCTGACTACACCTTTTCAAGGTATTAGGGTGTGCTTGCTAGCCTCATCTTCATCCTTATAATGATCGCAAACTTGAGTTTCGCTCCAAAAAGTGTGTGTTCTTGGGGCATAGTTCTCTCCATAAAGGCTACAAGTGTCTCCATGTCCCAACTAATCGAGTCTACATATCTCGAGATGTTGTTTTCGATGAGAATGTCTTCCATTTTTCTGCCATGCCTCAGTCATCCACCACAGCATCAACTATGCATTCATCCCCTCTTATGCCTGGCCAATTTGAAGATGTTGCATATTTGCTTGTGTTGTTACCTAATCATGGTGCAGGAACTGGACGTGGAGCTCGCCTGGAACTTCTCCTTGACGGACCTACTACGCCACCTGTGGCGCACGTCGATCGGTCGGTGCATGTGCATGCACCGCCTCCAGCCCTCGACTCCGCCTCGAGAGCCCCGTCTACCACTGGGCCGGAGCCTGCGTCGGCTACTATGGCTGGGTAGGAGCCCGTGACGGAGCGGCCTACGTTGTCGCTTCCTCGCCTGGCCACCCCTCCATCGTCACCCCCGCCATCTGCGCGGGCGTCGCTGCCGCCCACTTCGCCTGGGCCTGTAGTGACCCACACGCCGCATGGGCCCATGTCGCCCGGTCCGCCGTCTCTTGGCCTGCCGTCTCCCAGCCCGCTGTCACCCGGTCCCTCTTCGCCGGACTTCGCTGGACCGGCCTTGCCTGCTCCGGATGTCTCGCCTGCTCCGGACGCCTCACCTGCTTCGGACGCCCCGCCTGCTCCCGTGATCATTTCTCCGCGGTGTCCACACACCTATTATGACATTTCCATAGCCATTCCGAGATATATTGCCATGCAACTTTCCACCGTTCCGTTTATTATGACATACATCATCATTGTCATATTGCTCTTGCATGATCATGTAGTTGACATCATATTTGTGGCAAAGCCACCTTCATAATTTACATACATGTCACTCTTGGTTTATTGCATATCCCGGTACACCACCGGGGGCATTCATATAGAGTCATATCTTGTTCTAAGTATCGAGTTGTAATCTTGAGTTGTAAGTAAATAAAAGTGTGATGATCTTCATTATTAGAGCATTGTCCCAAGTGAGGAAAGGATGATGGAAACTATGATTCCCCACAAGTCGGGACGAGACTTCGGACTTCATAAAAAAAGAGAAAGGCCAAATAAAAAAATAAAGGCCAAATAAATAAAAAAATGAGAGAAAAAGAGAGAAGGGACAATGCTACTATCCTTTTACCACACTTGTGCTTCAAAGTAGCACCATGATCTTCATGATAGAGAGTCTCCTATGTTGTCACTTTCATATACTAGTGGGAATTTTTCATTATAGAATTTGGCTTGTATATTCCAATGATGGGCTTCCTCAAAGCGCCCTAGGTCTTCGTGAGCAAGCAAGTTGGATGCACACCCACTTAGTTTCTTTTGTTGAGCTTTCATACATTTGTAGCTCTAGTGCATCCGTTGCATGGCAATCCCTACTCACTCACATTGATATCTATTAATGGGCATCTCCATAGCCCGCTGATACGCCTAGTTGATGTGAGACTATCTTGTCCTTTTTTTTCCTCCACAACCACCATTCTATTCCACATATAGTGTTATGTCCATGGCTCACGCTCATGTATTGCGTGAAAGTTGAAAAGGTTTGAGAATACTAAAGTATGAAACAATTGCTTGGCTTGTCATCGGGGTTGTGCATGATTAAATACTTTGTGTGATGAAGATAGAGCATAGCCAGACTATATGATTTTGTAGGGATAGCTTTCTTTAACAATGTTATTTTGAGAAGACATGATTGCTTTGTTAGTATATGCTTAAAGTTTTACTATTTCTTATGTCAATATGAACTTTTATTTTAAATCATTTGGATCTGAACATTCATGCCACAATAAATAAAATTACATTGAGAATTATGATAGGTAGCATTCCACATCAAAAATTCTGTTTTTATCATTTACCTACTCGAGGACGAGCAGGAATTAAGCTTGTGGATGCTTGATACGTCTCCAACGTATCTATAATTTTTCATTGTTCCATGCTACTATATTACCCATTTTGGATGTTTATGGGCTTTACTTTACACTTTTATATCATTTTTGGGAATAACCTACTAACCGGAGGCCCAGCCCGAATTGCTGTTTTTTTTGCCTATTTCAGTGTTTCGAAGAAAAGGAATATCAAACAGAGTCCAAACGGGATGAAACCTTCGAGAGCGATCTTTTTGGAACAAATGCAAACCAGGAGACTTGGAGTGGACGTCAAGCAACAAACGAGGCGGCCACGAGGGTGCCCGGCGCGCCCCCCACCCTCATGGGCCCCTCGTGGCTCCACCGACGTACTTCCTTCGCCTATATATACTCCCGTACCCTGAAAACATCAGGGAGCACCATGAAAACCTATTTCCACCGTCGCAACCTTCTGTATCCGCGAGATTCCATCTTGGAGCCTTCGCCGGCGCTCCATCGAAGGGGGAATCGACCATGGAGGGCCTCTACATCATCGCCAAGGCCTCTCCGATGAGTTGTGAGTAGTTTACCACAGACCTTCTGGTCCACAGTTATTAGCTAGATGGCTTCTTCTCTCTATTTGAAACTCAATACCAAGTTCTCCTCGATCTTCTTGGAGATCTATTCGATGTAACTCTTTTTATGGTGTGTTTGTCGAGATCCGATGAATTGTGGGTTTATGATCAAGTTTATCTATGAGAAATAATTGAATCTTCTCTGAATTCTTTTATGTGTGATTGGTTATCTTTGCAAGTCTCTTCGAATTATCAGTTTGGTTTGGCCTACTTGATTGATCTTTCTTGCAATGGGAGAAGTGCTTAGCTTTGGGTTCAATCTTGCGGTGTCCTTTCCCAGTGACAGCAGGGGCAGCAAGGCACATATTGTATTGTTGCCATCGAGGATAAAAAGATGGGGTTTATATCATATTGCATGAGTTTATCCCTCTACATCATGTCATCTTTCTTAATGCGTTACTCTGTTCTTGATGAACTTAATACTCTAGATGCAGGCAGGATTCGGTCGATGTGTGGAGTAATAGTAGTGGATGCAGAATCGTTTCGATCTACTTGTTGCGGACGTGATGCCTATATACATGATCATGCCTAGATAATCTCATAACTATGCGCTTTTCTATCAATTGCTCGACAGTAATTTGTTCACCCACCGTAATACTTATGCTATCTTGAGAGAGCCACTAGTGAAACCTATGGCCCCCGGGTCTATCTTTTATCATACAAGTTTTCATCTATCTTTTATTTGCATCTTTACTTTCCAATCTATATCATAAAAATACCAAAAATATTTATCTTATCTTATTATCTCTATCAGATCTCACTTTCGCAAGTTTGCGTGAACGGATTGACAACCCCTTTATCGCGTTGGTTGCGAGGTTCTTGTTTGTTTGTGTGTGGGACTTTTGGGGAGCCTCCTACAGGATTGATACCTTGGTTCTCAAAAACTGAGGGAAATATTTATGCTACTTTGCTGCATCACCCTT